AAAAGAGTGAGACTCTGTCTCAAAAAAAAAAAAAAAAATGCATTTCAAAATTGCTAAAAATATAAATTTTTAAAAGTCTCACCACAAAAAATTAAGTTGGTAAGGTGATGGATTTGTTAATTAGCTTGATTGGCTGTTTCTACAGTGTATATACATGGATCAAAACATCACGTTGTACCCTGTTGTTTTAAATGAAACCCCTTGAGTTTCTCCCTCAACTTAGCTGGTAGCAACTGTCCCCCATCAGCCACCAGAGGCCCAGACAAAAGAGCAGCAACAGGACTACATTCTAAAATAACAATAAAATGTAGAATATAGTAAATACATAAACCAATAATACAGAAGTTTATCAAGTATTATGTACTATATATTGATGTTTGTGCTGTACTTTTATATGACTGGCAACGCAATATATTTGTTTACGTGAGCATCACCACAAACAAATGTGTAAGCACTAGGATGCACTAGGATGGCGCTAGGCAATAGGAATGTTTCAGTTCTGTTATAATCTTCTGGGACTACCATCATATATGTGGTCCATCTAGACCAAAATGTTGTGTAGCACGTGACTATACATGAAGACACTGAGAACTGTAACAACAGCTATTTTAGTGGAATAATAGAGTCAGAAGCTATGCAATCCATGAAAGCTCGCTCTTCCTTATTTCTATATTTTGCCATGGTCAAGGTCTGCTCATTTTGTCCTCACCCCACCTCAATGTGTCAACTTTATTTTCATTACAATTTTTAAGTAAATCCCTTATTATCATTAGATCTGTACTATTACAATTGCATTCCAGCTGGTCTCTTTGATTTGCATCTCTCAAACCATCTCCCCTTTCTCACCAAGCAGCCATGCAGTCCGAAGATCTCTCTCTACTCAGGTCAGATAACTCTTACTTTGTAACTTTCAGAGATTCTCTGATATCTAACTTCAGATTTCTTAGACTTGGATCCAAGGCCTCTACCGTGTAGATGATACTTTTCCAGCTTATTGCTAATAATTCTCCTTAGCTAGACCCCACATTTCTTCCTGTCATACTTATTATCTCCCAAATCTCTGAACTTTTCTGATTTTATGGCACTGTCCTGTCCTTTTCCTAAACATCTCTTCAGTTTAAGTGTTATACTCGTACTTGAATATATCTTTCATGCCCCAGATAGAGTGACCTGAACACAGCCAGATTGTACTATGGTTGTTTTTTAATATATTTTGTAATTCAAAACTGCTGCTGGAAAAGAGAAATCAGTGACTAAGCCAGATTTTGGGGATAGCTAAAAACAACATATTTCATATATATTGAAAATGATTCATTTTATGTGGACCAAGCTAAATCTAGACCATATCAATAGTTTCTTTTTATTTGCTGTCAATTCCTAATTTTATATACGTAGCACAGACCCTCCTCCTCTGAACTTCAGGCCCATTCATAGTTTATGCAGCAGACATCTCAACTTATGCAAAGTGAAACACATATTCTCTCTAGTAGTCTCCTCAAAACAAACAACAGAAAGCATCTGATGTTTTTTTGTGTTTCCTTCATCTGTCCAATTGTTCAAGTCAGAAATCTAGAAACCAAAATCCCTGGTATCTCTCTCTTTCTCCCTCTATCGCTTTGTTAAGTCATTCTCTAGGTCTATCTGGTCTGTCTCCTAAGTATTTCTCATATCTTTTATTCTTTCCATCACCAACATTATGACCCTTTCTAGAGTCGTTATTATTTGTTGCCTGATATATAGCGGTGGGCTTTAAGCTGGTCACCTGGCATCTACTCTTGCCCCTACCTAGCTCATTGTCTAGCCTGCAACCAGAATGAACGTTAAAAATGCAAATCTGATCATGCCACCTTCCTACTTAAACTCTTTCTGTGGCTATTAGGATGAGATCCAAAATCTTGCAAGGACCTTCTTAATTAGACTTTTTCCTGACTCCTCAACTCCTCAGCATGATAAATGATGACAGTTTCTATCATCTTTTCTCTGCTCCAGTTGATCTTCTTACTTTCATTTCTCACTTCAGGACGTTTATGCACTCTTTCTTTTTCCTTCCCCTTCTCTGTCATCTAGCTACCACTTATTTATCCTTCAGAGTTCAGACATATTTATTTAAACTTAAATGTTGAGCTATTAATAATTGTTAGCTGTAGAGACATTAAGTTAATAAACACTAGTTTTAAGGGCTATAGTTTCAAAGAGGAAGCATCCTTTCACCTCAAACCTATGTCTAAGCAAAGTCTTTTAATCTTTGTAAGAGACAGAACTAATTTACCTAATGCCTGTACTTTAAAAGTTAGTAACATTACTTTGTGATCCTTCTTTTGCCCTAAACTTTTAATATCATCCTAGAAATTTTGTGAAAGCTGAGTATTTTTTGTCCTTTACTTTCTACCTGCTCCAGTGGCCAATGTCTGCTCTGAAATAGGTAAGAAAGAAAATGGGAACATATATAGATGTTGTAAACGGTCAGAGATGACTAGGAAAAGAAAGAAAAATCTACTATAAGTATTAACACATACATAGACATTAGCAGTATTGTTGATTTAAAGATGAGTAAACCAGGTTAGAAAGTAAAAACTATTTAATTTTTTAAAGTTTGAAAATCTCAGCTTTTTTTCCCCTGAATTTTTTTTTTTTTTTTTTTTTTTTAAAGACAGAGTCTCTCAAAGTTTCACTCTGTGGCCCAGGCTGGAGTGCAATGACGGCTCCCTGCAACCTTCAACTCGCGGGCTCAAGCCATTCTCTTGGCTCAGCCTCCCCAGCTCTAGGACTACAAGTGTACACTACCAGCCACAGCTAATATTTTTTATTTTTTGTAGAGCATGGTCTTGCTATGTTGCCCAGACTTGTCTCAAACTCTTGGCCACATGTGATCCTCCTGCCTTGGTCTCCCAAAGTGCTGTAATTACAGGCATGAGCCACTGTGCCTGGCCTTTTTTCTGGTTTTTAATCACACACACAAAAATTCCTCCAGTTCTCTATTTTGGAACATAAGGAAATACCACATTCAGTTTTATATTAAAAATTCACTTTTAGGGAATAATTGTTATATGTCTTTTAGGTCTGTATATTGGATAAATGGGGCACTCTCTGGGGACTTGTACCCAAAGCTGAGTAAAAGTGAGCCAGGTCTGAATTGAGCCCTTGCATTGGTACTCTCCCACCTCTTTTGTGTAGTTAGGTGTGACTTAGTAAAAAGAATATAGGCTCTGGTCTTAGATATACCTGGGTTCAATTCCCAGCTCCATAACTTGATATGTGAGCTTGGGAAAGTCAGTTACTTGCTTTCCTCATCTGTAAAGATAAGAAGAAAAAGAATTATTTGACAGGGATCTAAGAACTAAATTTAGAGAAATGGAAAAAATATTATGTTGCCTGGCATTTAATAAATATTTAAGGTTTATTAGTTTCCCAGAAGAAACTTAAATATTTAAATAAATATCGGGGGGAGAGAGGATCTTTAGTTTCTTCGTAGGCTATCAACCAGCCACACCCTCGTTTTGCTCAACAATCAAATATTGACTTTGATTATATTAGAATGGCCCATCTAACTTGAAGTATTTTATCGCTATCAAGTGGCTATCATCTTTTGTATTTTGATGAGTTAGCTTGTTTGGAAAATGTTACCTCTAGCTGTAGGATTGAGATGAATCACTCTTAACACTTTAGAAGAAAACATTCCTGCCAGTAGTAGTGCAGTCTCTTATTGTCTTAATTCAGAGTCAACTACTCTTACTTTATCCTTTCTTCTTTCAGGAATATACATTTAACCCTTGAACAACACCGGCAATAGGGGCACCAGTCTCCTTTGAAAACATCCATGTAACTTTAGACTCCCCCAAAACTTAACAGCTAATAGCCTACTATTGACCAGAAGCCTTACCTGTTGTATGTATTATGTACTGTATTCTTACAATAAAGCAAGCTAGAGAAAAGAAAATATTAAGAAAACCGTAAGGAAGAAAAAATGTATTTACTGTTCATTAAGTGGAAGTGAATCTTCATAAAGGTCTTCATGCTTGTTGTCTTCGTGTTGAATAGGGTGAAGAGGACCAGGAAGAGGAGGGGTTGATCTTGGGGTTTTAGGGGTGGCAGAGGCAGAAGAGATGGAGGAAGTGGAAGGGGAGGCGAGAGAGGCAGGCATACTGGGTGTAACTTTATGGGAATACATCATATTTTCTATATGACTCTTTTGCTTTTCCATTTCTCTAAAAATATTTCTATATGGTACCAATCCTTCTTCCATTGTTTGCTTTAGTTTCAGTGCCCGTATCATAGAAGGATCCATGTCCTAAAAGAAATCAAAAGCAGTCTTGAATAATTGGGATCCTTATGCCAAATTGTGTAATCTCTACTTGTTTTTTGGCACTGCTTCTGCATTGTTTTCCTCATCTTCTGCCACTGGTTTGGGAGTACTCATCTTCATCAAGTCGTATTCTGTTAATTCCTCTAGTGTGGTGTCTGTTAGCTTTTGAATTTCTGTGAAAGGCATATCTTGACACTCCACCTTTTTTGCCATATTCAAAGTCTTTTATTTCCTTGATTGGCTCTGTCATAAATCTTATGAAGTCATACACAACATCTGGACACAGTTTTCTAAAGCAGGAATTTATTATTTCAGACTTGATGGTTTTCATGGCTTTTTCTATAACAATGATGGCATCTTCAATGGTGTAATCCTTCCAGACTTTCATGATGTTCTCTCTATTGGAGTTTTCTTCCATAGCATTGACAGTCCTTTCCGTAGAGTACTGTGTGTAATGTACCTTAAAGATCCTTATGACTCTAATCTAGAGGGTGAATTAGAGACGTTGTATTTGGGCAATAAGTAGATCGGTTTGATACTTCAGTGTTAAACTAATGGGATTCTCGGTAGCCTGGGGCATTGTCTAATATCAGAAGAAGAACTTTATTTTAAAAGGCAATCCCTTATTGGCAAGGGTACTTCCTGACTTCAGGGACAAAGCATCAATGGAACTAATCCAGAAGATGGGTTGTCATTTTTCAGGCCTTATTGTACAACCCAAAACTGGCAGCTGGTTTTTATCTTTTGCTTTCAAGGCTCAAGAGTTAGCAGCCTTATAGCTAAGGGCAGCCCTGATATAAACCCAACTACATTTGCACAAAACAGTAGTCTTTTGCCTTAAATCTTGGTGCTCACTTCTCCCTACTAATAAATGTCTTTAGTGGCATTTTTTTTTTTTCCAGAATAGGGCACTTTTATCTGCATTAAAAACCTGTTCAGGCAGAAAGTTTTTCTTGTCAATGATTTTCTTAATGGCTTCTGGGGATTGGTCTGCTGCCTCTTGGTCACAGAAGCTACTTCTCCTGTTATCTTGATGTTTTTTAAGCCAAATCTCTTTCTAAAACTATCAAACCATTCTTTGCTGGCATTAAGTTCCCCAGCTTTAGACTCTTCACCTTTCTTTGGCTTTAAGTTGTTGTATA